GCCAAAGTAGAATTATCACATTGCCGATATTGGATGGATTATAGTGACATTTAGAGAACAGGCCCTTACAGGTGGCTTGGTTGCTCTATAAGGAATCTCTGTGCTTGGAAATTCAGGTTTTCATTCTCCAGTTACTCCCCACCACTGAGACTCCTCCATCTTGATGCTTCCCTTGATTGCAGCTCTCTGGGAAACTTTGCTTAGTTAAAAGTTCAAATACCTCTTAAGAATTCCACCTGGGCAGTCACTATGCAAATTCTCTCTCGTGGGGGCAAAGGTTTAAGGAGAATTTTCTTGCCTGCATCCTCCTCCCCAGTGACTGTGCATGGGTACAATGAGCACTTGTCCCTAATGAGGCTGGAGCTGGGCTGGAGAGAGGGATCCTGCTGGGTGCAAAGCCCAGCATCAGCACCCCCAGAGAGCCCTGGAGCTGCCTTTGCACATCCCCACCCTCCACAGAGGGTGTTTGGAAAGCCCCCAGCCCTTCAGGGCTTCTGAAGCCAGGCACTGTGAAAAGGAAAGGTGAATTTTCTGTCCGCAGAGGGGCAGCTCCACAGTGCTGTGAGCAGCTGCTCCAGTAAATCAGAATGGTTTCCAAGGGTCTCCAGCTGTGTCACAGCCCTGCTGCTGCTGCTCCTGCAATACAACCACAGGGAAAAGCAGCAACTCACACAAGGGCTGTGATCCTGTCGGTGCTGCAGCTCAGAATGCACCTACATGGAAGCACTTTTTGAGAGAAATAGATTTGGTTTCTGCATCAGTAACCAAAATCTCCAGCTCTCTCTGGGCTGGCTTCACCTGATGTAGAAGATGGGAAGAATGAAGGCTTCACTGCAGGCTGGTGAAGAAATCTGGCTTCTGAGAAGTTCTGGCTGGCCACACAGCTCTTGCTCTCATCCACACATTGCGTCGCATTGCCTTGTGCATTCACGGCTTCATGAATTGCATAATATGGGCTGAAATCTGCTTTGCACCTGAGTTGTCTTGGAAAAGAGTTTTTCACCTCCCATGGATTTTGAAATAAGTGAATTTTATGAACTGTGAGTGCATTGGGAAAATTAAAATCTTAAGCATTTATTGATTTTAGGTTTACTTTTTAGCATGTCTCAGGAACTTTGAGCCTGGACATATAGATGAGGGTTTTTAAAATCCTTTGAGGTGATGGTGGCACATCTTTGGAACTCCTGATACATCACTGAGGAAAAAGCAGGACATGATCCTGCCCTTTGCTTGTCCTTTGTTATCTGGAGCCATACTGTGGAAGTGTGGAAGTGAAAGGATTTCTTGTGACAAACAGGAGGTGTTCTGCTGGCTTCTGGGTTTGGGAGAGAGTTTCTAAACTCAAATTTCCTTTCTGTCAGCTCATGTAGCCATAATTACCAGGCACTGGTCCTTCTTATCCCAATTCCCTGTCTGACATCTGTGCAGAACTCTGAAATCCCAAACATATTGGTGTGAATCTGTGGGAGTACTCTGGTTGTGGGAATTTTATTCTTTTTCCTTTTTTAATTTGAGGGATTTATTTCTCTTTTTCTGATCAGGTGCTCAGCACACTCCTGGTTCCCACACCAGAGAGGAAGCAGCTTCTTGCTGCACACTCTCCTGGGCAGTAATTACAATTTCTCAGGAACTAAGTTTAGTTTGTAATTCAACATTTCCCCATAGCACAATTGTGTAGCACCTATACAAATATTTGTGCCTGTTAAATGCTCGGGGAAAAAAAACCCAACATTATAGCAGAAGTCAGAATAGGTGTAAAGCAGTCACAGGAACAAAACCTTTAATTTCCCTGCCCTTAAATCCTGTACAACATTCACTAAAATTGTTGTAATACTTCCCTTGACTTCTGTAAGAATAATCCCTAAATATCTGTAGCTCCTGGTGGATTCTAGATTGATGTCCTTTAATCTATTTATATATTCATTTGGCATTGTAGAGGCACAACACAACTGTCATCCTTGCCCAGGTATAAATCTTAAGGAGCAGCAGCTGAGCACCAGCAGGGACCCCAATTCTTGTGCTCCTCCAGTCCTGGAGGATTACAGGTCTGATAAAACAATGAAAGTAATTTTTTTCTGGTTAACTTTGTGCTCAATCTTCTTCTGGTGTCAGCCTAGTACAGGTTATACCATCTTTTATTCTGTGTCAAACAGTCACACAGGAGAGGATGACAGGACAGATAAAGCCTCGTGGCTACCACTTTTTGGTCTTTTTTTAAGTCCTTAAGGATGAGCATTTAGAGAATGAGATCTGGAGGTTGCCACACAGGATTTCTTGTGATTATTGAATAGTTTTAGTATTATGCAAGTCCATAGCAAAAGAGATAGAAAATGTAGAAAATGGGAATGTAAAGCAAGCAACTATGAATTTTCCCACATTTTTATTTTAATTTTATATGGAAGGAAAAAAGGCCAGGATAAAAAATATTTTAGAAAAATTTTTTTCTAATTGAATATTCATAGCCTGCTGGTGAGAAATACTGGGTTTATTAAAATATGTGTTTCTCTCATGTGGAAATAAGGCCATCAGATGTCTGTCCCCATCACAAAGAAATGCAATTGAAATGCCTGTCAAAGTATTTACTTAGTGCTGGCTCTTATTTAAGCTGTCACCCTTAACACCCTGCAGCAGCACCCCCCTCTCCCTGCATCAGGGTGCCCCCAAACAGGCAGAGGTGTGGACTCAAAAAAGATTTTTTAAAAAGCAAACTTTCATGGGCGCTGTGGAAGTATGAAAGTTTTATTTTTTAAGAGGGTCTCCTTTATATTTTCCCCATGTGGAGTGAGAGGCCAGGTTAGCTATCCAGATGAAGGGATAGAATGGTGTTATCTTGTTGTGTAGAATGGCAAGAGCAATGAATTCATGATCACAGAGCCATTGAATGGCTTTGGTTGGAAGGGATCTTAAAGCTCATCCAGTGCCACCCCTGCCATGGCAGGGACACTTTCCCTTATCCCAGGGTGCTCCCAGCCCTGTCCAGCCTGGCCTTGGGCACTGCCAGGGATCCAGGGGAAGCCACAGCTGCTCTGGGCACCTGTGCCAGGGCCTGCCCATCCTTACAGACAAGAATTTCTTCCTAAAATCCAAACAAAACCCATTTTCTTTCCATTTGCAGCCATTCCCCCTTGTCCTGTCACTATGTGATCCTTCCTCTGGTTGACGTCTGAACCAAAGATTGTCCACGGGGTTCCAAGTAAAACAAAAATTGAGACTCGTTTTGGCTTTTTACAATGCAGCTGCAGCTTGATGCTTTTGTGTCCAAAGAGGCCTTAAAGGTAATGGCATGTGAAATTGCTCCTCTGCTCCTCTTTGGGTCCGTGAGAGATGAAGCCATGATCCTTTATCTGTGTCTGTGCACACAGGGCTTGCAGCAAGAAGAAGAAATTAGATTTAGAAAGGTAAGTTTTGGTTAACCTTAACTGGAAAAAGAAGTAACTAAAAATACCATTCTCAAGTGCTCAAAAAAAAAATTAGTCACAAAAAGTTAGGAAATCAAAGCCAAATCAGAAGTCTTACTGAAATAAAAAGAAGTGCTCTCAGTTTGAATTCCAGTACTAAGCTATTAAGCAGCACATTTCCAAGTATTGCAACAACCCTGAGGGCGATATGGCAAATACATATATTTTTTACTATGCTCTGATGGTAATTGTATTTCTGCAAAAGAGATTTGTTCTAGGTTATCTGTTGAAACCCAGCCAGGTCTTTGGTGGAAAAATCCCTGCCTTTTGTCTACATTTCACTTCTGCAGCATCAGCCAGACTGTTTCCATATAAAAGACGTGACTGGAATTTGCAGGTATGTCAGTTATTGGTGATTTCACACCTGCTGAGAAGCCAGACCTTTGACAGCTATAAACAGATGCCTCTGTAACACATTTGGTTCTGCTCAGAAAGTGGAAATGTTGTTTTAGTCTCTATTAAAATAATAATAGTGGAGCCATAGCTTTCCCTGAGTAGTAAAACTTATGCATTCACAGTCAAGAAAAAAAACTCTTCATGATATAACTATTCATATATTCATTCTGAAGAATTATTTTTTGCCCAAATTAATTTTTTAACTTCACTTTCTCTGGTGCAAATATTGAGCAGAAGCAAAGTTGGACTGAGGATGTTGAATCTGTGATTATTCATCAAGCATGATCTTCACCTGAGTTTCAGGGCAAATCCAGTGGCTCTGCAGGAAAATATTGCATTACCTGAGAAATATTGCTTTTCCATCCTTTAGGTGTTAAAAAAGAGGTCAGATATTCCATGTAATAACCCCTGGTTAGAAAATTTTAGCTTCTGAGAATTGTTGTGCTGTAGCAATCCAGAATAGAGACACAGATGAGCTTCCAAATTGGAAATGACCCAGACATAGCCCATGAGGCCTCAGTTAACTGCAATCTTAATTAAAGCCTGACTGTGGGCAGAAAAACCAAACAATAAAGTTCTTAAAAAGTGCTTAGAGGTTGTTACAGTGGTTGGTAATGCTTTGCAATAATGTGTGTGCCTTTTCAGTAATAAATGGATTGCATAAATGATAGATGTAGAAGCTCCCATAACCTGATGAGTTCATTATGGAATTAGATCTTTAACTCACGTGCAAGACTAATGAGAGAGGAAGAATGTTCATGCTGAAGCTGGTTGAATAGAATGGTAACTTTAAAAGCTTTAGAAGACGTCAAAAATCTTTAAAAATCAAGTTACACAGGTAAGAAGACCACAATGTGCAGAGAAATCTGAGTTTTGATTTATTTATTTTTAATTAGTGAGTGCTCCGTGTAGTGCAGTGAAACAAACCATGTTTGCCAGTGTTTCCCCACTTAATGTACTTTGTGAGAAAAGTCCACGTCCTGAAACATTTAAATCTAATTGCCTCTGACATGCCTGTGTCTATTTTTGTATTTTTTAATTCTATTTTATGTATTTCTCTTCTTGGCATCCAGTTCTTCCTCGATCTCTGTTCTTCCTCACTTTCATGTGACCTTTCTTACTGTTTCAGCTTCCTTTTCCTTTCAGCAGTGGGGATTTCAGTAGGGGGGCACTAAAACCTGCACAGCCTCCTTTGGTGGGATCTTATGCTGCGCTGGCATTTCGGGAAACCTGAAAGCTAGAAGACACTGCTTTAGGAAAAAGGCAAATCCTCTGCTCTCAGCTGCACAGGTATTTGCACACCTTCCCACCCTGTGTAAATCCTGCAGCAGCTTCCCCTCTCCTGCACTCTCTGTGCTGGGCGAGCTTTGGGTTGAGATCTGGATTCACACTTCACATGAGCGTGGAGATTAATTAAGCGAGGAGTGGATACCCAAGACATTTATAATTACCGCCCTAAGTAAGTCATAAAGCAGGACTCCAAAGATGAAAGCTCCCTGCCTGACTGATTTGCTAAATCACACATTCCCTCTTGACCACTGTTTGAAGGGTCTGCACAGCCTCTGCCAGCCCTGTGCACGTGCTCTGAGAATTCCTCACTTCAGAGCTCCCTGCACTATCAACAGCTCAGGGCTTTTTCCAAGGAATGTTAAATCCTTTGAACCTGCACGGCTTCATGAGATCTGATTAAACCTTTCAGACCTGCCAGTGGATATTTTGCATATTGAAGGACTTCATCTCACCCTGAAGTCTTGCTGGCTCACGGGGTTCCCCACATGAAAGGTGTTCTCCCTCAGCTTTGCAGATTCTTCTGTTTTCATCCTGGAAAACTGTGATGACTTTAAGGGGGAGTCTAAGAGGGAGAAAGTTTGAACCTTATTTTCTGCTACAGAGTTAGGACAATTTTCAGTTTCACTGAAAAATCACTATAAAAATAAATAATAATTCTGGCCTTTTTCAAGGAGTTGCATTCTTTTTCATTTCAGAGTGTGTGTTTGGAGTTTATTCCAACACTCCTGAAATCTAAGAGACAGGAAAGGGACAAGAAAGACTGGAAAGGAGCATGGCTAAAAGCAAACTAAGGAGGTTATTAGAAGTATAAAAGACACCCTTCAATAAGTGGAGTCCAAATGGAGATTGCAGAAAAGATAATAAGCCTTCTGGCAAGCTAAACATGAAGCAATAATAAAGCTGGCCAAAAATGATTTTGAGGAGGAAGGGTTCAAAATTTAGCAATAAAACCTTTTTTTTTTTTGGATACATCAAAAGCAGGAAGTTTGCCAGCAAGTTGATGGGGACAATATATTACTGAAATGTAGAAAGACCATTCTAGAAGGACAAGTCCATAACAGAGAAGCTGGAAAGTATCACAAGGGGGAATGCTCATTAAGGAGGGCTTCTCTGTTGAAGCTGATTGTTGGGTATTGTCCTGAGGAGCTGCTGGTCCTGGGGCAGTTCAATAGTAAAGCGGATTTGAATAAATCAACACAGAAAAAGGGGTAAGGGCCACATCATAATGATGCAATTTGTGGAAAATTTCTAATAAAACTGAAGGAGCAGCCACCTCTTATGGCACCTTGCCCCTTCAGTCAGCCTTAGTTAAGAGTTTTATGATATTCTGTGTCTGACTCTACTTTTCCAAAATACTTCAGGACAACCAGGCAATGACAAATGTGTGTCTGACTTTCATATTTCCAAAATGATCTAATATTCCTTTGTTACAGTCAAAACAGCAACAAAAAAAACCCAACCCAAGCCTCTGCTTACTGCAGAGCAAAGCAGCTCAAATTTACAGCTTCAGTTCTTTTGCATGAATAATTGTTCCAAATCCAGTTGAAAGGTAATATTGAGGTTATATCTTTGCTTGATTTTGACAGGAGACTACTTTCTGTTCCAGCTTGAAGTCCTTTGGTCTGATTCAGATTCATGCACTGCCCAACTGGAGTGGAGAGGAAGAAACAATTGCACCCAGAAATCAAACAGTGTCTGAGAGGCATTTGGTGGTTTATATTTATGGGAAAAAAAGCTGGTGTTCCCACTTCCATGAGCATCAGTGTGGCTGGTTTGAAGGGCTGGCCTCAGCTCTGTTCCCTGTCCCCAGTGCTCAGGGGGAAGGTAAGGATTAAGTGATATTTTTGGTTAAGAATACAAGAGCCACCTGGTCCCTGCCTGATCACCAGCATAAGCCAGAACAGCCAGCTCATATCCAATTTCCTCTGGTCCCTCTGGAGCTCTGGAAAGCAAGGGAAAAGCCCAGAGCTCTGCACTTCATCTCTTTCCCTCAGCACTCCCATTCCTTGGTACAAAAGCTGCCATCTGCCTGGAGGACTGAAGTACATTTGAGGATAAAAATCCCTTTTGCCCACCTTGTACCTGGCTGAGCTTCTGCACAGAAAATGACTTCATCTGGCCCTTTTTTGCCCTCTGTTTTTACAGTCAGTGCCATAAACAGGCTGTACACACACACTCCCAGGAGCTGTGAGCAGGTAAGGTCTGTGTGGCAGGGCTGTGCTCAGTAACAGCACAAAGCTCCCAATTCTGTGCAGTAAAACCCTTCCTGCCTGTGTGGAACAGGGCTGGGACATTCTGTGTGTGGAGATGATCCCCCAATGCCTGTTGATACAAACCAGATGGGCTCATTGCATCCCAGTGCTTCCTAAATACAGAGAATGTTGGTGGTGGTGGTGGTGTGTGGGCTTGCTACTTTCAGTTTAGGTCAAGGTTTAATTTTACTTTCAAAAAACAGGGTGGTCGTTCCTAGCTGGAAAAGTGTGACCAACTTATCTGAGCAAAAAGATGAGCTTTACCAAAAAGGGGGCGTATGAACCCTGTTGTATTTAAAAAGATCTTAAGTATTGACTTCTGATCCCTAAACACATCTTACTTGTTTGTTTGTTTGTTGTTTTATTTGAAGTTTTGTTTTGGCTTTGCTCTTGCCATGAATGGCACATGGAGAGAGTAACTGTAAATGAGCATCTCCAGGTGGTTGTTGCATTTATTATAATTTGCTCTCCTGTTTTAGGTCCTCTTTACTGTCAGACACAAAACTTCTTGGGTGATGTGGTGCTGGAATTGCCTGCAAAACCTTCAGGAATGAGCAGACTTTTCAGAGAGACTGGAACACATAACTGGAAAGGATCACCTGCTTACCTGAGAATGCCTTCAGAGTATTTTGATGATACTTTTTTGTGAAATATTTTGGGTTTGCTAAAAGAGAAAAGTAAGTAGTTTCTCTCTAATATACTTCAAATATATTATTTTTTCATTTATCATAATCATAGCTGTCTGTACTCATGATTTTTTGCTTTTATCTTTGTTTGCAATTCATAGGGTGAGGTTTTTTCCCCAATTTTATGAAACTAGCATACTTACAAATTTTGTAATTTTTCAAACTGAGAAGACAGAACCATCTTAATTCCCTTTAGTTCACAGACTGTGGAAGGGAGGATGAATTTACTGAGATTTACTTCAGATGTGCCACAGTTACTTCATGAAATCTTCACGTGCCATTTCAGATGTTTGTCTAAACTAAATCTCTACCTTTTACATTGGTGGGGGGAAATCCTCTTTGCCCATCAACTGAAATAAAATTTAAAAAATTATGTCTGTATTTACAGAAATGGCAAATGGCAGGACTTGGTTCATTTGTACCACAGCTATTTTCAAGGATCACTTTATGTTCAGTTTTTCCCAGCAGTGTTTCTGCCAAAAGAAAAAAAATCTTGGAAAAAGCAGAAATGAGCATTTTTGCACTGGTCATTTTCTTGCTTAAAATGCCATGGAGTTGTAGCTGCCCTGGGGGCTGTGGGGGAGGAGGATGAGTAGGAGAATGAGGATGGGGAGGAGGGTTGGGAAGGAGAAGGAAAAGGAGGGTGAGGATGAGAATGAGGATGGGGAGGAAAAGGAAAAGGAGGATGAAGATGTGGATGAGGAGGAGGAGGATGAGAATGAGGAGGACAGTTAGGGTGAGGATGAAGGATGAGGATGCAGATGAATATGAGGATAAAGATGCAGATGAAGATTTGGATGAGGATATGGATGAAGATGAGGATGCAGATGAAGACAAGGATGAGGATGCGGATGAGGATGCACCTGAAGATGAGGATTCAGATGAGGATGAGGATACAGATGAAGATGCAGATGAGGATGAAGATAAGGATTAGTCTGCAGATGAGGATGCAGATGAAGATGAGGATGAGTCTGCAGATGAGGATGAGGATGCAGATGAGGATGAGGATACAGATAAAGATGAGGATGTGGATGAGGGTGCGGATGAGGATGCGGATGCGGATGAGGACACAGATGAGGATGAGGATGCAGAGAAGGATGCAGACGAGGATGAGGATGCAGGTGAGGATGAGGATGAAGATGAGAAGGAGGATGAGGATACAGATAAAGATGAAGCGTGGATGAGAACACAGATGAGGATGAAGATGGGGATGTGAGGATGCAGACGAGGCTGCAGATGCAGATGAGGATACAGATGAAGAGGAGGATGCAGACGAGGACGAGGATGCAGATGAAGATAAGGAAGAGGATGAAGCTGTAGATGAGGATGAGGATAAAGATGAAGATGAGGATGCAGATGAGGATGCAGATGAGGATGCAGACGAGGATGAGGACGCAGATGAGGATGCAGACGAGGATGAGGACGCAGATAAGGATGAGGATGCGGTCTCTCCCGGTGCCGCAGCGCCACCGCGCGTCCCCGCGCCGCTCGCGCATCCCCGGGAGCATCCCCGGGATCTCGGCATTCCCAGCCCGCGGGGAGCGGGGGCACAAACGCTTTGGAAGGCCTGAAGAGGCTCGGAGGGGGGCCGGAGCCGGCTTTGACACCAGTTGTGAGCAGCTCTCGGATGCAGAAGCTGTGCTCTCTCCCCCGCTGCCCGCCCCGCTGACGGGCTGCTCCCTTCCCTCCTACAGCTGGAGCCGCCTGGGGATGTCCGGGGAAAAAAAAAATGTAAATCATCACTGGGGAGCATGAGGAAAGATCACCAAACTCCAAGTTGATGTTACTGGACTGGTAACATTATTAGCAAATATTTTACATAAGCCTTGTTGTGTATTTCCAGGTAACTGTGCTAGTTTAACAGCTCACATAAACATAACAAGGTCTTGATGTATCACATTCTATCAAAGCCCAGAGTGAGAAACTGGCAATTGCTCATCCAAAATAACGCGGTTTGACATGAAGGGATTTTTGCCAGCCAAAGTAGAAATTCCCCACTGGGAGGGGATGCTGTGTTTTGCCCCTAAAATGTGGGATTCTCCACAAACACAGGCTCCACTTCAGTAGTCAGCCATGTGAGAAGCATCCCTTTCTCGTTGGTTTTGGTATCCTAATTAAACAGATTTGCCCAGGGAGAAGAAGTGGAGTGTCTGAGGGGTCACCTCACCGTGGCTGATCTCAGCAGACACATGGCACACACTCCATCCCCTCTTGTGCTGTGAGCAGGAGCTCCCCTGCCCCACAATCCAGAGTGCTTTGCATGGGATTTTTTTCTTTGTGCTGTCTCAAACATCAAGTGTTTGTGTTCCTTTTCGGATGAACTTTGGTTCTGACCCTGCTGAGGGTGCATTGCTTGTTTTGGAAACACTTGCAATATCCCTGGACTGTTTGTTTTCCACCCCAATATGCTGCTACATTCCTGCAAGCTTTCTCTGGTTGTAATGCAATGTTTGGCCAGGAAACAGAGAATACAAATGGAAAACAGTGCCCCAGTCTTAGGGAAATGTAGTGAAACTGTGACAGAAAGTGTTTTGTTGGAAACAAGACAAAGATTTCCAGAGAATTAATAAACAAGCAGCTGCTCAGCATCTCTGCAAGACCATCAAATCCAGATGTTTATTTCCTGGAAGGATCAGAGTATTTTGTTTAACTCTCTTCCTCTGTCCTCAGCAGGTAGGAGAAACAGAGGTCAGGTCTGGTGCTTGTGTTCCAAAGGAGATAATTAGATATTTAATATGTGTAGCAACAATACAATTTGCATGACCAGCTACGCATCTACAGATATTTTTCCAGTGATAGATCCAAACCACTGAGTTTCTCCAGGTATTTGCTGAAGACCAGCACTTAACAGCACATAAAGAAGAGTCAGGCTGCAGAGGGGCAGCAGCAGGAGAACACTTCTCCCCTGCAGAGCTGAGCAGGATCTGTCTCATGTCAATGCTGGGTCTCTTTTGCCAGGGCAGTGGGGTTTTGGGAGGGTCAGGACCTGTCTTTTCTGAAACAAGGGCCCAACTCCTCCACAAAGAAATAGCAGTTTTTAAAACAGTGATGGAGAACATGAAAGCAGACCTTGGTCCCCAGGAAGTCACAGCACCATCAATTTGTACTAGGAGAGGTGGAAGTTCAGCTCCTGAGGTGAGCCCAGGTACTGAATTCACCAGCAGCTGGTTAGGTCACCTCAGAGGGCCAGAGAGGAGTTCTGCTGCTAAAAATGCAGATTCTCCATGGTAGCTAACACCTTTCCCTTCAAACCTACACCCCAGAGGGATAGAACATCTCAGTTCTAGAATGTCCCTGGAAGTGGACATTGCCAGTGGAATGGAGACCACAGGCTGGCCCAGGGGAGCAGCAAGGGAGTCTGTTCTCCCAGAAGTACAACCTGAAGAGCTATTGAACCAAAGCATTAAGACCAAAATATTGTTGGGTGTCACCAGATGCTTTGAATCCCAACAACAGAAGCAGAAGAATAAGTGTGAGGCAAATCAGAGAAGGAGGCTCAGGTAGGCGCTGCCTCATCCAGAAGCATGAGGAGACTTGGAGATCTTGGAGCTGAGAAAAACTGAGTGAAAGAGATGAGATTTCACAAAAGTTGAGAAAGAGGTAAAGTCCTAAATGACCACCCCAGTTTCTTTGCTGGTTTTTGGAACAGCAAGGGAATTGATAATTCAATAGCAGTGGTGGGCTCTGCAGTACAGATGTGGCTGAGCCTGGCAGAGCCCAGCATGCCTTCTCCACTGCAAACCAAGCTCTTTTATTGCTAAGCTAAGCAGCTCAGGCACAGACGCTCACAGGGATCTCAAAATGCTTCCTTTGCCCCCAGGAGAATTTCTTTGGGAGCACTCAGAGAGCAGGAGGACATCCAGGAATCTGCTTTCTCTGGAGCAGATGATGAATGGGTCATCTTGTACATGAAAGGAGGGGACTAACAGAGAGAATTTCCCTCAGGGCAGTGTTTGGACAAAATTTTTCTTACAAAGTCAGGAGGCAGGATTGGCTTTTGCCCTGTGAGATGGGGTAACAAAACTGGCATTGCATTCAGTGAAAAAGTGAACCTTGTGGCCAGCAGCACAAAGGCTTTGAGCAGACAAAGCCTTGCAGGTAATGTGAATTTCTGTAAATACAATTGCAGATAATCACATGAGCATTGCAGTGTCTGTGTAAACAAGGGACAGGACAGCTCCAGGGCCACCTGGGCCTTCTCTCCCTGTAACAAAGCAGCACAAATGGGCTGGCAGTGGCAAATAGTCCCAGCTGCAGTTTGCAAAAGGCACTGGTGTCATTGCAACTTCCTCCATCCTTAGGAACTGCAAGCCTGGAGGGAAAGTTCCTAGTGGGAGATTAAACTTGGTATTGCTGCAGAAAGCCAGCATGGCTTATGTTCAACACTTTAAAAGGGTTTATGCTGTGCATTTATATATAGCAAAATGTACAGCAGACATGGGAAGTCATCAGATTTCTGCCTTGTCTGGAAAGTTGCTTTCTCACTCTCTGTATACACCACACAGCAGGGACAGCTTAAAGCTGGTGGCCCCATGCAGGATTGCCACAAACATGCTTTATTTTTGTTTGAAGTCAGAGAATCTTTGGACTTACTGCCTTTCTCCTCTGACTGCAAACATAAACCTCTGCAATTGCATCCAGACAGATCTTTGTTCTGGTGAAGAACAGCATATATCCTAAATTTTGGCTTTGAGATCCTCAGTAACAAGACAGAATTCCAGAAGCATAAAGGGTGGTTGGGTGGTTGACTTGCTACAGCAAAGGGATGCCTAAATTCCTTCTGTACCCTTCGAGATCATTGCTTTGTATACTGTTCTGCCACTTGCCTAGAAAAGCAGTTTCTGCAATTTAGGCGTTAAACCCAACATTAGCAGCAGAAAAATCTGTGCACATAAGGAAGAAAACCCATTTGGTTCTGGGCAGAGGCACAAAGAGCTTTGGGGCTCTGTTTATTATTCACTGTGCAAACTTCTGAGAAATTAATG